TACATTGCAGCATGCTTGGTAATTTCTACTGCAGGGTTTGGCTTCTCCATCAGTATCAGATTGCAGTCCATCATTGCAATAAGCATCAGTATCGCCCACACTCTGCTCCACTGCATTTTTGGCCATGCTTCTAATCGGGGCAAACGACACTCGCCTCCTGGAACTGTCCGCATGCACGCCGTTTGCCGCCCTGACGCCGAATATGATATTAACGTCTCTCTGCCTTCTTGTTCCTCGGCATGTCAACTCCTTGTCCCTAGCCTTCCGCCCTGCTCTCAAGTTGGCCATTGCTTTAAGAGCAACATGAGGCAGGCTACCGGGCACACAGCAGTCTAGGATGGAAGTCGTAGTTGCGACCGAAGGCAGGTTTGCCAAATAGGTGCAGCATACTAAGACGGAGCTTGCTTCAATGGCGACTGCATGTATGTTGGGGAGTGCAAGGAGAATTGAATGGGATGACTGGCGCTATTACGCAAAGCGAGCAACGGTTTTGCCAATTATTAAAGAACGTCCATAGAACAGTGCGGAATGTATATGGGCTGCTGCGGAAGACATCACAGACAAAAGCTGCAAATGTACATGGTTGGGTGAAGAGTGGGGTTGCCAGAGGGAGATCACGTACGGTTTTACAGAGATGACATGGTGTTCTTGTGTACACGGCGAGATTGTGATGGATGGGATGCTCAAGGGCTCTTTGCGACCCTGACCTAGGCAGTACATTGGCCTGCGTGCCAGTCGATGAGATGGGGCTTCAGGCGTGTGTTTTCCTTGGACATTTGCACTCGTGCTCTTCGTTTTCAACCTGAAAAGGCACGTCTGAGCTCTGGCAGTTTTGCAGCCAAAGAGTTGCAAAAGTTGTCAGCCGAGGCGCGCTGTCCAATTAAGTTGTGATGAGGAGTACTGCATGTGGGAATCGCGCAATCCAACTTGGCAGGCTCAGAACCTAAGCAAAGGCGGGAAGCTGTTTGAGCTGCAAGTTTCAGGAAAGCTCGGCTGCACAAAAAGTCATGGAATCATAAGTAGGACTGCGGTAATGTGAGCAGCGGGGCACGAAACTGCAATCCTGGACGTCGGGAAAGGTCTGTGCTGCCGCTTGCACGTAGATCCGAGACCTGCCGAAAGCCGCTAAAAATCGAAAACGCAGCAGTCAGACATGCTGCAAGTAGGCGGCGAAGGCACAGCTCAGCAGCATAGACACAATTCACGTGCGTTGCTGTGATGCCATGCACGTGGTGCAGCTTGCCAGGTGTGCAAATCAATGCAGCTTTGTTCTCGACCCTGCAGACGGCCTTGGATGAAGGCTATGTAGGCCATGGGTCACTGCTGCACCTACACACATACCTTTCGGCATTGCACATGCATTTGCTCGTGTTGCCATAAACGCACCGGGAGTCTCTAGCCGAAGGGTTGGCGCAGGTTGGCGTGTTGTTCTTGAGATGCTGGCAACGCGAGTCAGCAATTGAAGCAAGAGTTTTAACACAGACCTGTTGTCCCAAATGGCTTTTGCAGGGCTTGCCGGAGCACAAGCAGATCAAGCTTTGGAAACTCTCCTGAGCTCCGAGATGTGGAAGGATCGGGATTGGAAGGCTCCTCCAGTTATGTGTTGTTTATCCTGCCATTTTGGCAGCTCGCCATGACGTTGATCCGATGCCTTTGGCACGATGTGCCGTGTATTTGCACCGTTATCTGCTGCAGTCCATCCAGCCCAGTGAGCTGCGCGAGCCAGCAGCCCAACCTGCATCAGTTGACCAAGTTTACACGTCATAGAGTCGAGGTTAGAAATCCGGGCGGAAGAGGCAACCAAAGCAGGCGCTTTGCTGCGAAAGCGAAGCATCTTAACCAGTGGCAAGAGCTACAAAGTTGCCAACACTAAGGCCGCGACCGCTTGGCTGAACCGCTGCAGACTGCATTGGAGGCCTCTGTGAAAAAGGAAGCTGCAAAAAGGGCGCTGTCTAGCTTTCGGGCAGGTGGGGCAGTGCTCTGTGGAGCTGGCTGCTGCAATGAGATCGAACGATGCGGAAAAGCTCGAAGCCTGCCTGGACAAGGCGCACGTTTTCTCCGCGTTTTCGCTTTCATGTTCAAGAACTCGCGTTCAGCTCAGCTTTCAGGTTTTCAGCAGCTGCTGGGTTCGAAAACCTTGCCTGGAAATGAGAATGCCAATTCAATCGAGCCCACGGATTACAGATCAGTTTCCCGAAAGTACGAGAGAGAGGACGGAAGGAACGGGGAGTTCGCCGACGAGCCGAGCTCGGCCGACGGAAGAACTCAATTTTGTGGGTGGTTTATATGCGCTTTCGAGTCAGAGTTCCGCAAACAAGGGCGAGCCAGTTCTTTGAAATCCGCTCGACAAATGATATTATGCTTGTCTCGGAGGAGTTTTCTTTTACAAGGCTAGTTTTTTTAATTTTTCTACTACACCAGGACGACTTGTTGGGCCCAGGAGAGTCCTCCGGGTGAAACGTTTCATAAAATCTGAATGTCTTGCACCGAGTTGTAATGGCAACTTCCTGACAGTTGTTCTTCGCAGCTCTCCACTATCCCTTGGCTGAGATGCACGCTCGTTCATGCATTTCCTGTGCAAGGCACGGCAGTTGGGCTTCAACCGCTTGGAGGAAGTGCAACGGCGTCTTCAGAACATGCGATGTTCCATGGAAGGCCCCGGTCCGACATCGCTCACCCCTGGCTCAGTTGCAAGTTCTGCTGTGCTGCAGTGCTACAGGCAGGAGAGGCTTGCGACGTCCCGTCCGGGCCGCTGCCAGCTTCCAAAGTCACGGGATTTCAAGCTGCTCCACCGCCTGATGTCATGGGCTCAGGAATCCCCCACGCTGTTGCCGTCGTCTGCCCCGGCAGAGCAGAATCCTCCGTTTCAAGAAGAGAATGCGCGAAAGATGTGGCCCAGCCGTTGCCTAAGCTAGTCCTCAGCCAAGACATGCCAAGGGCTTTAATCATTGGTCAGGGATAGGCAAAAGAACTCCAGGACCCCAACCCTTTCAGGGTGTCGAAGCTACTGCTCCAAAATCCTTAAGCTGCACACTTGGAGAGGGCGATGAGAAGAAAGGGAACAATGATGTACAATGGACCGATATGGACGACCATGTTTTGGGACCACAGTGAGATAGATCACCGGAAGATCAGCATGACACCGGAACAGGCAATGAAGCAAAAGAGCGAAGTGAAACACAGCACGTCATGAAACAACAGGCGGTGCGAGCAGACAAGGCCCGATCATATCCCTTAAAGACAAGGTCAAGTCAAGATTTCGGGAAAACTTAAGGCGGAGAACCATGGCTTCTACAAATACAACCGCTACAAGTAGAAACATGAGCTGAAGAAAAGCACCCAGCCTTGGCTGTAGAGGGGAGCAGTTGCCCATGTATGCCCGTCGAGGTTTGAAATATCTATCGATAAGAAGGCTACAGTGCTGAACAATGCTACATATAATGTATGATCTAGGTTGATACATCAACAAGTTGCTCAGAAGTAACCTCACTCCTGTCTACCAGCTGTTTGCATCAGCAAGGAAAGAGTGCGAGAAGCTTAATTTCAAACAGGAGCAAGCCATGTAAAGCCGAACGCATGGATGAAGTGGTACTTCACAAGTGAAGGAAACAACATAGTCATACAAAACATAAGTCAGGGTGCGCTCGTTCTATGCTGTTGCTATGGAGAGTCAAAGGGGTGGGCGTCTGGGGGTAGCACGGGGTTGGCCGCCAAAACTGGGTTCAGCTACTACTCGGGATCACGGAACCTGTGCCAAACACCTGAGCAGATACCAGAGCAGCAGGTTGCAAAATCAGCCGTATGGGGTTCTCCGGGCCGGAAATTAAAATTTGAGACCGGGTCGCTGTGAGAGTCGTTTTTTTGGATGACCGTCCTTCGAGGGGGTTATCTTGTGAGTCTTGGCTGTGAAGGTGTCGTGTTTCGTGTCTCATGTTATAACTTCAAAAAAGCGCCTTCTCGCAGTGTCCCCAATAAACTGTATAAAGACGATTCGGACATCTTGATTTTGTAATAGAACATATACAGAACATTTCATAAAGTTAGCGAAAATGTTGCCCCGGTTATCAAGACATTACTGCCCCCGGTGGTGTGGTTCGGGGTGCGGCAGCCAGATGGGGGGTCGTGGGCACGGGTCCGGGGATTCCAGGCAATTGGGGCCAAAAGGGATTCGAGCTTAGAGCGACTGGAGCTGTTTCGGGTTCAAGGCTGGTCGGGGATTTAGGCTTGTTTTGGGAGTATTGCGTGCAGTTTTAGGCCCAGCGTGCTTTGGGGCTTGGACGTTCAGGGTTTTGGGCCTGTTGGGTCCAGGATGTTCTCGTTTTGTTGATCTTAGGACCTAGGATCTTGCGTTTTGTTTTCTCGGTTCGGGCTTCGATCCCTGGTGTTTTCAGTTTGGGCCTTTGGCTTTAGTGCTACCGGGTTTTAAAGTGCAAGGTTCTATCCCTTTTTTGGAGCAATGGAGGGAACATGTTCAGTACAAGTCTTGAAAGAAAATGACTAAGTAACACATTTACACCGGAACGTGGAGAAACGCCAGGCCAACAAGCTCGCGTGAATGTTTTCAGAAAAAGCTCAGAAGTATTGCACCTTAGAGTTCAGAAAGAGTTCCCGAAAGGAGTCAAGACAAAGTTTAGAATCAACGGATTTCCTAAGAAAGCTTTAGAGAAAGTTCAGAAGGAGGTCAGACATGAGTGAGGAGCCTAAGGAAAGCCGTGGACACAATCCGAATAAGTACAACCTCCTACCGCTTCCTCCGAGCGTCCAGCTTTATTTCATTTTCGTCGATTATCAATGCGGACACGAAAGAAACCGTATCAACATAAACAAGTCATGAATAGTCATAAACAAGTTTTCAGCACTTCGAAAAGGCTAGCTAAAGTTTCAAGAGCTAGCATGAAGGTTCTGGAAAAACAACTTTACATGGTAACTTCTATCTTCTATGTGATCTGCTACTGGCTCCCCTGACATTACCAAAAAGTTACGAGGGATGCCGGAGTTGCTCGCTTCGGTCTACTATCTTGGTAGAGCCATAGGTCATCTCCTGCTTGGAATGCCCACCAACATGTCCGCCGACTACTTTTCAAACGACCGGTTCGAACGAAGTCCCAAGGTGAGGTTGGGTCACCTAGGACCTAGAAACTAAGTGAACAATTTTAGGAGCTGCGGGCAACATCGTCAGCATCTGTTGTTCTCAGGTCCAGCGGACAACAGTGAGCCAAATGGGCAGGACAAGCAAGATCAAAAGGGTGTAGGCACAGTCATGCACAGCGGAGGTCCGCCTGCAAGATTTGTCCAAGCTCGCCAAGGGCTCCTACCCATCGAATTTGCAGACTACAGTAGAAAGTCACACCCTCCATGTTCCGCATCAAACGAAAGCTGGTTGTTCTGGCAAGTCTTCACATACCGACAAAGCAACTCACCAAAAAATGACCCTGCACAGCACGTCTTCCTACAATGTGCCGCATGCCTTCTGTTCAATGCAGCCCTTCCAGCATTCGCCTTTGCCCATTCTCTTCGGGTCAGACTTCAAGATGGCTGTACTGGTGACCCCCAGCGATGATAGTTGCAGAGACCTGAATTGGTGACCAAGTTAGATCATTTTGAAGCTCGGTTATCTCGCATCGTCTTGTGGGTAATATCTTCGCTCCACGTCCCACTGAAAATCTTAGCTCCGTGCCTGGCAGGACCAGTTGCTACGATACGAAGAGCATGATCAGCAGGCGGGACTGCTACTGATGCTGCAAACACGGGCTGTCGTCATCTTAAGGTTCGTTGCACGAACTTGATCTTCATCGATCTGGAAACCACCTCTGGCTTCTATGACTTTGAAGAAATGCCGCAGATTCTGGAGGCAAGAAAGTTGGATGGACCATGCATATGTACCCTAAAGCTTCTTCAGGTGGCCATCATCATCACCGACAGACATCTTAACGAACTAGACCGCGGACACTGGGCTAGACACTGAGAGAGGGCAAGGCAATGGTTACTCGTTGATCGCTTCCTAAACCTTGACCCCGTATCATCCCAGCGAATGTTGCGGCTGGAATTGGGGTTCTGGGCTGGGCCTTCTCTTCAAGCTTTACAGGACAAGAGCCTTGCAAGGGCCAGAGCGAGACAGGTAACAGATCCATCTAGGGGTAAAAGCCGATATCTGAGCGTCGGTCTGAGCGTGATTTTGGGATGTTGAATATCAAGGGGACGGATTGGAGACTGCTCCCGAGAAAGCTTTGCGTTGGACGCGGACCGCAAACAAAGCTGAGGTTGTTGGTGGGTTCAGCCGAAAGGACCTGGAAAGTCTTGGAGAGTTTCACAAGGTGCTGTGGCAATTTAAGTGCGAGGTCATGGGTAGTCAACCGCCAATCGCTGCAACTTGCAGGCGAACTTTCGAGATTCTGAACCCGGAGGCAGCTTTCCACCTTTGATGGGCTACGGCGGCTGCGAGCTCAGACCTGCAAGAGAGATCTGCTGGCCAGAGAAAATTGCACAGAATGTGTGATTCCACTAAGACCCAACCCAATGAATACTGCTATGTTTGATCAGTACAGTCACGGTCAGTGACCGGAAATTTGCGAAAGGCGACCAAAAAGGGGGATAGTCACTGCCTTCATACAAACTGCATTGAACACTCCAAATCTTGCTTCCTTGGCAGAACTGAAAGTTGCAGGAACCGGGACATACCGGGATTTCCACAGGCTAGGAGGGGGTTAGAGGTGTTGGCAGCACCCGCAACCTGGACCTGGATTTTCAGAGCAATGGATTTTCTATGTAGGAAAAACGCGGGAGCCCGCCTGGTCCGGGGCCTTGCTACAGCAAGCATAGGCATACCCCACACCTCACATCCTATACCACCCCCCTACACTTTTACCCCATTTCTCAACCCGCCTAACACTTCAACCTCACCAAAACCCATATCACAAGCAAAACAAATCGACCTCACCAAAACCCATATCACAAGCAAAACAAAACAACCTCACCAAAACCCA